TAAAGAGATGTTTTGCCTTTTCTATTTCAAGATTATATAAACCAAGTCCATTTAAATTAGGATAATTTGTACAATGAAGAAAACGTGCCATTGATGATGATTCGAGATTAAGCCATTTGACTTTATGATGAATTTTAGGTAAAATTTGTAAACAAAATCGATTAAGTATTGGATAAGATGGTCCATAAATAAAATCATTCGAACAACAATTCAGTAAATTCAAATGACTTGTAAAAATTGGATCATGTAAAATTTTATTTAATCGTTTATTAACGCCAAATAAAGAATAAAGTAGTGCGACATTGTCTACTTTTTTGAAAATAATCAAAAGAATTTCATCGGGTAAATCAGTCAATTGAAGACGTGGATATTCCATATTTTTCTTCCGTTATCTATTCTTTGTTTTTAGCTTGAAACTGTCTATATATATATACTCATTTGGTTTATTTGATCGATGCTGTCGAAGAAAATAATGATATAATTTTTATATAGTTCAATCAATAACGAATAAAGAATTATAATATTTCTCTCTCTTATTTTCGTTCAATATGTTTGATCATTGACAATTACTGATTTGTTTTTGTATCTTGATAGAAAGAGATTTATATTTCAACAACATTAATAAAGAGCTTTGTTAAAGTTGAGGGTGTGGGTGGGTGTGGGGGTGTGGGTGGATGCGGGTGGATGTGGGTGAAGCGAAGATCCAAACTCACACCCACTCTCACCCACACCCACTCTCACCCACACCCACCCTCACCCATACCCCACACCCACACCCACACCCACACCACACCCACACCCACACCCCATCCACATCCACACCTTCGTCTCAAATGATGTCGTATTTTTTGTGTTGAAATCAAGTTAGAAGCAGGTTCGACTTGGATGCCAAGGATTGAGTTTGTAACACTACAGTTCTCTGAGATATCGGGAAAACTCTTGTGAAAAGTCTTTCTAGATTAGGTTCTAAGCTGATTTGTAAAGATTTCAGCTAATGTGATTACATATAGACTGTTTTATTCACGTTGTAATATCTTATTTTAATATGACCATATAGTAACAAAACAGAATTACAATTCACAACTAAAGTAGGACGATTAGATACATTTATAAAATTGGAAACCGATTTGCTCGAGACATGCAAACACAATATCAGAGTTGTACTTTGACTTTATTTGTATTCGGTACTCTGTAGATCAACAATTGTTTATCAGGTAATTGAAATAGTTGAAAATTGTTTCAATATTTATTTTATCGATAATATAAATTTATATTGAAACGTATGATTTAGTTCATACGATATTTGATTAAAAAAAAACTCTACTATTTTAACAGAATATAATAGTTCATATTCCAAGATTGAACTTTTTATTCTGACAGCAATATTTGAAAAATAAATACGAAAAATTTACTTCAGATTAGATAAGAATATTAATCATATGTAATGCTGTGTGTTATGTCAACACATCAAATCGTGTAAAAAGTGTCATCAGAGAAAAGAAGTCTCTATTTAAGTTTTGATATTAAATTTTTCTTTCTATCTGTAATAAATTTAATACAGAAAAACTTTAGTACGAGAATGAGATCTCATACATATCACAGTATTGTATTAGTTATGCTAAACTTAAGTCTAGGTCTCATTAATTTTATTATTAATCCTCTGCAAATATCGATCTTGTTAAAATAAAAGTTTGTTCTGTAGAAAGAATTAGATTTACATTCGTTAGGACATCTATAGAAACCTTGTTTTTTTTGTTATTCGGATTGGTTATCCATTGTAGCGAATATTATATATGATGAATGATTTATATCATATTATGAAGATTAACTGAGTGATTAGTAGTTTTTTAATTCTATCAAAAAGGTATATGGCAGCCGCAATTGATGAAGGTGTTGGTAAAGTTCGTCGACCTGAACTTTTAAATAAAATAGATGTTGAAGTTAGTATTAATGATGCTATTCTACTAACTACTGATGATGGTGTACTAACAGCTCTTGATGATAGGTAAAAATAGTATAAGTATATATGAAAATAATTTCTTTTTTTTTTCGTTCTATAGAACATTACGTATTTGGTTACGACGACAAACAGGAAAATATTGGCCATCTGTGTGTTATACATTAGATAGTAATTTAATGAAAAATTTTGTTTGCATATTCATATTTGAATTCATTTATATTTTAGGTGCACCAACTGCACTTTATTATCATGAATCATCACGTCGTCTTTTTTGTGGTTGTGATTCAGGCCTTGTTTATGTAAAAAAAAAAAAAAACGAAAATCGTTCTACCTTCTTTATTTTTCTATGTGATAATTTTATTTTATAGGAATTTCTTGTTGCTGATGATTTTAATAAAATTACATTACAATGTACTTATTTAGGTCATCAAAGTCGTATACAGGCATTATATTTTACGTCTCGTAATGAATTATTATTGAGTGTATGTCGTGAAAAAAAACTTAATTGGTATTCAACAAACCCAGCCGATGAAAATCATCAATATACACGTGGAAGTTATACATTAACATCATGGGGTATGTCAATAGCAATGGATGAAATATCTCGACAATGTTTTATTGGTGATTCAAGTGGTAATATATATTTTCTTAAAATAAATACTGATAATAAATGTCACTTAACTACAACATTAAATGGTCATACAGGTAAATAAAAATGAATAAGAAACAAAAAAAACACGATTTAATATTTCTTTTCCTTTGTTGTGCAAAGGAAGTGTTCAAAATCTTTTATGGGATGCTGAAGCTGAATGGTTATTTTCCGGTAGTTTTGATACATCTGTTATTGTTTGGGATGTTGGAACACATCAAGGACTTGCAGTGGAATTGAATGGTCATTCAGATCGTTTAGTTGGAATATCTTATGATAATTTACGTAAACTCTTGATAACATGTTCAGCTGATGGTCATATTGGTGTATGGCCAATGAATGTTAAGCGTAATGAAACACCTAAATGGCTTGAAAGTGATTCTTGTCAGATATGTCACATGCCATTTTTTTGGAATATACGTGCAATGTGGACACAAAAACAGATTGGATTAAGACAGGTTAGAAAATAATAGCAGAAGCGAAAAAAAAAAAAGAAATTTTTTACTTTGTTTTTATTATAGCATCATTGTCGTAAATGTGGTCGAGCTGTATGTGATAAATGTTCTCAAACACGTAAAGCACTTCCATTATTAGGTTATGAAACAGTTCAACGTATTTGTAATGATTGTGTACAAACATTAAAAAATGATGAGTAAGTTTTGTTGCTTTTTTTTTTTCTTTATCTTTTTACTGATAAGAATATATTGTTATTTAGAACGGTACCATTGGCGTCATTTTATGATATACGTCAAGGTACAATTCGAATGGATTATAATCAAGGAAGAAAAGTTATGATGATTGTTGGTATTGATCGAACAATTAAAGTGAGGTTTTTTTTTCTTCGATTTATGATCAAAATTTGAAAGAATACTAAAAAGAAATGTTGTGATATTTCGAATACTAAAAAGAAATCATCCGTATTAATAATTATTATGCAAATTAGAAAACAACCTGATCTTTTGTTTCAATTCATTGTCGTGATAGAATTAATAAAAATACCAAATCGAAATCCTCAGGGAAGCAGAAATACAAACGAATGATAGATACTACGACACTCCCACATATCAAATTTTCAAAAGTTATTTTTTTGAAACAAATCAGCATTTCTTTCTTCCTTTGTACAAATATGATATCATGATAGAGTAAGATGATGAGAAAAGTTGTACGACAACATAATTAAGTTTCCTATCTGATGCATTCTATATCAATTTTTTAATAATCTCATTTTATTTCTTATGATGTACAGTAAAGTTCGTTGTAACCAAGTTTGTTTTTTTTTGACATAAATATTACTTTATTCAAACTGAGTTAAAAATACGTCTTGTTTTATGCAATGTATCCGAATAAGAAATCCTATTCAAATTCTGACATTTTATTTGCTCCATTATTCATATTGTTTTGTTGATTAATGCAAGATATAAAAGAAAAAATAAGATATGGCGATATTGAGAATATATTTCGAGAGACATTTATTCTGGTGCAACTGTTATTATCATCAATCAAAAATAAAATAAAATATTCATTGTCAGACTGTGAGAAAAAGAAATATTTGATGTCACATGTTATTATCCTTCTCATGAACTGTATGGATTAATATTTTCATATTGATCATTTTGTTTTTTTTCCTTTTTTTTAGATTTGGGATATGTCATCAGTTGTATGAGAATCAAAAGATATTTGTTTTATGTTTTTATTCCATGATCAAACATTATCGTAGAATCAACATTATTGGTTTCTTTTTTTTTGCTTCTAATATATTTATTTTTGTCATTATCTTTTTTTGATTGATTTATTTGTTGTCTTGAAAGTTTTTTTTTTTGTTTTTTCGTTTTCATTTCTTCAAAAACTATTGTGTAGTAATCATGCTTAATTAAATCTTTATTGTCAATGTACATGTATTTGATAGCAAGTAATTTATATTTTATAGATGAATTTTAAACGAGAAGATATTGAATTTTTTTGGTAAAGATAATGTTCTATTACGTGGTTGACATTATTGTCCATTATCAACATCAACTCCATGTGTTTTGTTATATTGACACATGGATTTTCAGCTTTAAAAGAAATGGGTCTTGATGCATATGCATAAATATTTTGTTGTAATGGAAATTTTTATGTTCTTGTTTATGATCATCAAACATTTGGTTTCAGTAATGGACAACCTCGACATGATATTAATTCATATGATCAAATAAATGATTATAGTTATGCAATAAATTATCTAGAAAATCGATTAAATAGTAATCAATTATCGATTGGTCTTTGGGGTATATCATATTCTAGTGATCATGTATTTGTTGTTGGTAAAAATGAAAAACAAAAAATAAAATGTATTGTATCACAAGTACCAACAATAAGTGGGAAAAAAAAATATAACACGATATTCTTATTGGCAAAAAATTCTTTTAGAAGATAAAAATTGTTTATATACGAATAAAGAATATATTTCTATTGTAAATTAAACAAATGATAATAATGATCTATCAAATAGTTTTTATAATTTTTTTTTTTTGTGAAAAATATTAATCTTGTAAATAGATTAATCAAATGACACATTGTTCTATATATTTCTATAGTCAATATGAACCATAGAAATATTTTATCTCCTATTCCATTATTAATGATTGTTGCTAAAAATGATATAATTACATTGACTGAAGATCAGATCGATGCATATGAAAATCAAGTATTAGAATCTAAAACGTTTAGTATTAATTGAAGATGGACATTTTTCTGTTTGTCCTTATGAAAACGAATCTTTTCAAATAGCAGTAAACGAAGCACTTCATTGGTTTATAAAATATTTGAAATAATATTATTTTGTTTTTTTGTGTTTTCTGTTTTCTTCTTTCAGATAAATATTAATCCATGGAACAACAAAATAATAGTGGAAAGATGTTAGTTAGTGCATTATATGCTTTTAAAGCACAAAATACTGATGAAGTAAATCATTGTTTCTTTGCCTTTTTTTCTTCCTCTTCAAATAAAATATTTCTAATTAATATCTCTGTTATATTAATAAATCTTGACCTTTATTCAGAAAAAATAAACCTTGAATGAATATTTTCTTTACGTCATGCTGCACAAAAGAACTAGTAGCAATATTTTTTCTGATAGATTGATTCCATTCTTATTACTTGATTGATATAAAAATGAAGAAATGTTGTCTTCTTATTTTCTTTTATAGTTATCATTTGCTAAAAATGATATTATTATAATAACACAAGCACCAAGTGATGGTGGTTGGTGGGAAGGTACATTAGATGGAAAAACTGGATGGTTTCCATCAAATTATGTCGAACAAATTTTACAAAAAACAGGTATTTCATTATAAATTAATTGACATTTATATACACGTGTCTAGAAAGTATTTTTTTCTCGCCTAATAATATATCAATCGACATTGTCACTACGATTATTATAACAAATAAATACTACTAATATTGTTGATGTCTGTCATCAGACAACCAACAGGAGGATATATATGGTAAATGAGAAGAAAATTAGAAGGACAACTTCTGTTTCTTTACTCGTTCTTCTATGTATTCGACAGAACTCTTTCTCATCATCTTCTTTTCTCTTTTCTTACGCTCGTTATAAAAGTAACGGTGCTTAACATTTAGTTATTATATTATTATTAATAGTCGGTCGTTCTATTTCGATGCGATCGACTAGTTGTGTATCATGTCGAATATTTGGTTGTAAAACACGTATGTAAAAAATTCTTCATCTCGAAAATTCATTTATTGATATTTTCATTTTTATCATTAATGAAAAATTTCGTTTGTGTAAAATAAAGAAACGTTAAAGATATACACAGACACAAAAAAGAAATAATTAGTAATGAGTGCTTGAACATAAGAATATAAATATATCTAAAAATAATACAAAAGAAAAAACACAATATTTCTCTGTATAATCTTATTGAAAGTTTATTTTCTTCTCTTTATATTTAGATTCAACACCATCAACACAAAGTTCATCTTCACAACAATGTGCCGAAATGCGGGCACATCGAGAAACCGTTAGTTAAACATAATAGAAAATGAAATATCATTTTGAGGAAATAAGATTTCTTTAAAGGAATAATAGAAATAAAAATTTTTGATATTGAGTATTCTTTGATCTATTAATAAATTATATAATACTAAAGAAAAAGCTTATCAAATAAAGGTTAACCTAAACGTAAAAGCAATTATCACCGCAGGCATAGAATAATATAGAATATGATCTTCCTCATAGCTATACAAAATTTTTTATTTATTACCATTTCATTAGTCAAATTTAAAAAAATATTTAATGAAAAAATGATATAGATAGTCAAAAAAGAAGTCATAACATAGGTATTAATTCTTATCATGATTAAATAATATCATAAACCTATACATTTCATGCAATTTTCTATTGACATTTTAAACTTCAATTAAAATTGAAATGTTATATGAGTAGTTTTATTATTATTTTTTAAATGTATGTGTATATACGACTAGATTCTCGAATCATTAGTCGAAAGTGAACAGCGTTATGTAACAGAATTAGAAGATTTTATGGTAAAAACAATTCAACCGTTGGCTCATATTCTTTCAACGTAAGTCATTCATCATATATGTACATACCTGAGGACAAATCTCCCTCCTTCCATGATTCTTTTCGTATAGAACTTCTTTAATCACAGTTGAATATTAATTACAAGAATGGCTAGGGTACTTTCTTGTAATGTTGCATATGATTGATGATAATTAGCTTCAATGAAGAATATATATCTTTTAATATAATTGAGCAACACTACAAATGAGTTAGTAAACAAAATGTTTCATGATTGGGTTATCTCTTTTTTTTTTGTATCTGTTAACCGTTTTATTGATTTGAATCATTAAACTCTTTTCGTTGCTGACTCAAAATTCTTCCACAAATGAGGCATGTAAAGATAAAGTAAAACTAGTAAAACATTCATAATATATCAATAAAATAGATAAGTCAGTCATGAAATATTCTATCAACTAGCTCATTTGTAGTGTTGGTCGATTGGTTTGAATGACGTATATTCTTCATTGAAGGAAGTTGTAATCAATCAACAATGATACTAAACTAGTATTGAAGTCATTCTTATAATTAATACTCACTTGACACTACTGATGTTTCACACAAAAAGAGTGAGAGAAGGAGAAGGATGATTTTTATTCAAATTTATTTTATTATTAATATTTATAGATCAGGTCAACCATATCTTTATTTGGAAGTTCATTATATTGATGAATTAATTAAATTTCATCGTCATTTAGTTCTTCTTTTACGGGATACAATAAAGTAGAAAAGAAATATTCTATTTTTTTTTATTAAAAACAAAAATACTTTAGAACTCAACATCGTATTGGTGGAATATTTCTTCAATTAGCACCAGGTTTAAAAACAATCTTAGAAGCATATTGTAATCAACATGCTAAAGCACTTTTTTTACTTAATCATAATAAGTAATTATTTGACTTCTAGTTTTTTTACGTTTTTTTTTTCTTTTACATTTTCAATACAAAAATAGAGATCGAATATTAACAGCTTTATCAAAAGTTGATACATCAAATGATACTAATCATGCATATATACAATTAATTAAAAATTTATCATTACCATTAAATCGTTTAGAAAAATATGCTACTCTACTTAAAGAATATTTACATAATCTTGAAGTATATCATTTTATTAATTTACTTGAATAGAAATTTATTAATTTTGTTGTTTCAAAAGGAATTTCATATTGATCGTGGTGATGCACAACGAGCTGCGGAATATTATGCAGAATTAGCTGTAAATAATGAGATTAGGTTTTTTTTTTATTGCTAAAGTTTTTATTTTTTTTTGGTGTTTAGTGTTCTGGTGCTGAATGGCGTAAACGTAAAGAATGGGAACTTGATATAGTGCATAGTACTATACATGGACTTGATTCTGAAGTAAGATAAATTTTATTTGAAAAAAAAAATGTTCGTTTTTTTCTTTTTTTTGTTGTATTTTATTTAAGTCTTTGATATCATTTGGTGATGCAATTTGTCTTAGTCCTGTTAATATACTTTCAGAAAATCTTGGACAAATAGCACTTGAACGTATTGCTATTCTTTATCCATCAACACTTTTTCTTCTATCAACAATAAAATCTTCAATAGCTCAACAAGAATATCAAATAGAGGTTTAATTAAATAGAAAATTTTCTTTCAATTGTTGTTTATTTTTATTTTTCTGGTTTGTATTTATTAGAATCGTTTTCCAATAAATCAAATAACTGTTAGTAAAATTCTTGATGATAATATTTTAGGCAAACGTGCTTTAAAAATTAATGGTATGAATATTAAAAATTAAAAAAAAACGAATTTCTTATAATTAAATCTTTATAGCTCCATCAAATCTATCAATGATTATTTCATTTCCAAGTCCAGTTGAATATCATGAATGGTGTGAAAAATTTTGTTCATTATTATCTACAAAATCACCTCAATCTTATTATCATCATAATCTTAATGCGCCTTATACACCTCAACAAGTTTCAAAAGTATTTCATGAAAAAAAAAAAAACTTTTAGCACAATCTCTACGAGATTAAAGTGTGAAACACGTTATAACTTCTTTTGCTAATCATAGAGAGATTATTTTATTTATTCTATCTATTTTGGGATGTATTTCTCATTAATCTTTTACTTAGTCCTTCAGAAATGTAATAAGGAGATATTTCAATGAAAGATTATTGATATAGGACATTTCAAGCTAAACGGAACACATCCATCTTTCATTTGACTTTAGTTATTTACAAGCCTTATTTTTCTGAATAAGTTCTGTTAGTATAGACATGTAAAAATGGGGGCTCTCTCAGCTGACTATTAACTCTTTAGTTATCGGCAAAAGATAAACATACGTAAAATAGAATAGATGTATATCACACATGTTTGTGTTCCTTCCTTTAGGAGTTTAGCATGGACCGTAACCATATGATGATGTAGAAAGCTTCTGTTACATGACCTTAAAGTAATTAGCTAATATCTCTCTAATCATAATAGATAAGTTCTAAAGACTTTAGAATATATTCTACGAGACGAATCGTATCCAAGGTAAAATTTTCAACAAGATTAGTCTGTAGGAAAAAATTTCTCTTAAAAACTAGTTTTCTAGAGATTCTAATGCAAGATTTTTATCGTGTGGGATTGATTCTGAATTTCTCATTTTGTTACAAGAGCATTTTATTTTCCTTTGCATATTTCTTATTCCATCATATCACTAATGAAAAGAAAATCGATGTTTTTTTTTTCAGAATCTAGATATGGTCAAAAAGAAGAAGTCTCCATAGAAATTTTGTAGTTTCAATTCGAAATTTTCTTAAACTAAACTTTATGACGTGAACATCATTGTCCTTTTTCATGTTATATCGTTAACACTAGGTTAATTACTGATAATTTCTTTGAACCAAGGTCTCTAACGCTGAT